AGGGGTGCCCCCTGGCCACTGCCCTTGCTGTCCCTCCCGAGGACAGACGGACAGGGCAGGGCCAGGGTCCCAGGGACAGCAGCCAAAGGCAGAGGGAAGCCAGCTGCACAGCAGCTTTCTGGATGCTGCTCCGAGACATGTGGGAGCAGAGCTGGGCTGGACACGGGGGGAAGCCCGAGGAGGAACCTGAAACACAGAAGGGGTGCCGTGCCAGATGCTGGAGCAGCTTTCTGAGCAGATGCAGGTTCCTTTTTCTGGCTAGGACTAAGGAGAGGGGCAGCACGAGCCGCAGCTGGGACAGTTATACAGGCATGGGGGCACAGGGGGCACAGAGGGCACTGCTCTCACCCTCTCGCAGCCAAGCAAGGGAGAGACCCTGCTGGGTCTGACACCCCATGCTCAGTACCAGGGGTGCTCGGGGCTCCAGCACTGCTCAGAGCTTGGGGGGACCCCAGGACCCCCCACCCCACCCTGCAGGGCCAGCACCAGGTGTACAGGCTACAAAACACCAGAAAGGACCATCAGAGAGTGCTACAAAACACCAGAAAGAACCATCAGAATGTGCTACAAAAACACCAGAAAGAGCCATCAGAGAGTGCTACAAAACACCAGAACCATCAGAGAGTGCTACAAAACACCAGAAAGGGCCATCAGAGAGTGCTACAAAACACCAGAAAGGGGCATCAGAATGTGCTACAAAAACACCAGAATGAGCCATCAGAGAGTGCTACAAAACACCAGAAAGGGCCATCAGANCACAGCCCCAGGGCTCCGTGTCCCTCACCCGGCACCTCCACTGAACCCCCTGCACCCTGTGATGCCCACATGGGTCAGTCTGTCCTGGGCTCGCTGGGATTAAATCAGGTTTTTTTAGAGCAAAAACTGCTGGCACAAAACCTGCCCGAGCTGGCAAAGGCAGGCTGGAGCGGGCAGGAGCCCTGAGCAGGCTGTGCTCACAGCCAGCTTGGTGCAGTGCAGCTGCACAGGCAGGAGATGGCAACAGCCCGTCGGCCGCTGTCTGACACTCCAACCACTTCCCTTCTCATAC